GTTAAAAGATGATCCGCAAATTTTGCTAATCTTAGGAATCCGGTTCCCTGGGCCCTGCAGTCTCCGCTAGCCCTGGCACCAGATGGTGCTGCCTCAACGACGCAGACCAGTGGCATTTCTGGGCCTTGAAAAAGGAGGCCGTGGGTGAGGTGGCACAGGGGCCACGCTAGGGGTCAGTCCCCCGGGGAGCGCGGCGGGTGCTCCTCTGGCCCCTCCCACGCATGGACCCCAGGGCCTCCAGATGGGCCGAACGTCCAGCAAAGACTTAGGGGCATTGCTGACATCGGCTGCATCTTGGCAGGGCTAACACGGCCAAATGATGCCCTCTCCCACCAGGGAAGGACCCACATGAGCAGTCCTCCCTCGGCCCAGGAAACCAGTGCTCGCAGCAAAGCCCTGAGCTCTGACGCAGAGAGCAAAAACCAGGGGACTCCTACACCTGAGAAGGGCGACAACGCACTCAGAAAGGTTCACTTCGACAATTCGTTAGGTGCTAATCCACTTTCCGTGACAGGTTCGCTCCAGCCGTCCCAGGACCCGGAGGTGAGGAAGGAAGCAGAAACTCCTTTCAGAGCACTGCACCAAGAGCCCAAGGGAGCACCCGCTGCAGAGTCCAGACAGAGAAACTCTGCAGGACAAATGACCCAAGCCCTTCAATAGCAACGACCCAAAAACTACCAGAAAAGAAACCAAGATGGAAGAGGAGGACCACCTAGAGGTTAGGAGTCTTGAAAGACCTATCGACCCATTGCACTGTCTGCACCTGATTTTTGGTTTGTTTTTAGAGCTCTAGGCCTAACATGGGGCTTGGACTCACGACCCCGAGATCAAGAGTCGCGTGCTCTGTCGACAGAGCCTGCCAGGCGCCCCTGCGTGCCCCTGGATCCCGATCCCGATCCTGACCCGGACAAACAAACAGAATTAGGAGATGATTAGGGAAATATGAACACTGACTAGCCTGACCATACTAAAGAAACTGTTGATTCTTTTTAGGTGTGACAGTGAAATCGCAATTATGCTCTTCACAATTCCTCATCTTTAGAGATGTGCCCAGATATATTTACAGCTGAAAAGCTACAATGTGGGGCGCCTGGGTGGCTCAGTCGTTAAGCTTCAGCTCAGGTCACGATCCCAGCATCCTGGGATCGACCCCCACATCAGGCTCCCCACTCTGAGGGAAGCCCACTTCTCTCTCTCCTGCTTCCCCTGCCTGTATTCCCACTCTCACTTTCTCTCCCTCTGCCAAATAAATAAATAAAATCTTAAAAAAAAAAAAAGGAAAGAAAGAAAAGCTACAATGCTTGGATTTTCTTCTAAACAACACAGCGTGGGTGGGCAGTGGGGGTATGGATGAGTCGAGACTGGCCGTAAGTTGGCAAACTACTGGCCCTGGTGAAGGGGGTTCCTTCTACATGTGAAATTCTCCACAGTGAAAAGGCAGAGATAAAGGAAAGGGCCACCACCCGAATATCTGGACTTCACCGGCCTGCACTACCAGCCTGTCGGAGGAATCTGACAGCGAGAAGCTGCCATTTCCATTCAGTAAAGCATTTTATCACTTTCAGATTTTTTTTTTTTTTAATTTTTAAGCAATCTCTCCATCCAACGTGGGGCTCGAACTCACAACCCGAGATCAAAAGGCACATGCTCTACCGACAGAGCCAGCCAGGTGCCCCAGATTTTTCTATTTCCTAAGGCGGAAGCCTAGATCAGGGCAGGTCTGAAGATACCGGTCCACCCTCAGGGCCCTGTGGAGGATTTGTAAAGAATTGTGCCCACTACCAGACCAGCCCAGCCATCCTTCCCCACACAAGCAGGGGCCTCCAGGACCCACACTTCTGGCCTATCTGCGACCGCCCACCTTAGGGCCACCTCTTTGGATGGCAGGACATCACCAGGGATACACCTCTCTTCCCCATGACAGTGCTCTCTGACCCTGCTCTTCCTCAGCATCCCCTCCTAAATGGGACAGACACATGACGAGATTCCTTCCTAGCAGGAAGGCTAGCCCTCTGGAGGCCAGAACAGACTCTGGGTGGTCTTTGGGACACCGCACACTGGGAGTGGAGCTCCCAACATCACACAGCCATGTCCTTGATTCCTTTTCCAACCACAGCTCCTCTTAAAGCTTCATGTGGGCAAAACAAGAGCACCAAGGGCCATGGATGACGACGGCACTTGCAGGTGAAGCGGCGCTCCCTAGCTTAGTACCATGTCATACTCTCTTGCCATCAAACCCGGCACCACGGCCAGACCGGGTCCTTGGGCCCAGTTTTAAGGAAAGAAAGGTACTTCCTTTAGAATCCACAGCAACTGTGAGCCCTTGCCACCCCAGACCGCCTTCCCAGGTTCCAGTGGGAGGAACAAGTGGCAGGCTGCTGAGGGCGTCGGAGTACATGGGCATAGAGAGGGCTATGCTGTCCCATCGATGCTGTGTGGGGATTTAGCCAGAAGAAGACATCTTCTAGCAAACTGGGGTGGCCTGGGAGGAAAGCCGTGCCTGCTCCTCACATCCTCGAGACATCCTCGAGACTATCTACCCCGGGCCCAGTGTGGCCCGTGCTCCAATGACTCACCCCTGGTCCTGCAGTGAGGCACGTTTGAATTAAAGCAATTCCAGCAAGAAATCCTACCTTCGTTGAAATTATCTGGAGTCCAGAGAGCCGGAGTAGGGATGAATTATTTAAAAATGTCCTCAGTTCTCCACTCAGCTTTTGTCAAGGAACTGGACCTCAGCTGGGACAGAAATGGCTTCGGCCGCATTCGATGGGGCATGAATTCTCTCATATTCCTGGGCAAATGATCTCATTATGGCTGGGGGGCGGGCGGGGATGCCTCCCTTCTCCCGACACCTGCCTGGTTAGTCCAGGAGCCAGCAGGCTGGCCACAAACCGTCTCCTTCATCACACACACTTCATCCTAACTCAGCCCCATGCTGGCAGCAGTCAAGAATCTGGCCTAAAATAAAAGAGGAAAGGGAAACAGCTCGGCTACAGCGATCTAGCTAGAGAGCAGGGCAGGGGGAAGCCGGAGAAAGATGAATCCTGATTTCCATCTTAGAGGCCCCAGTGCTGAAGTCAGAAGGTACCGAATCCCCTCTAGAAGGGCTGCCTGGCAGACACAAACTCAAGGCTGCAGGCTCTCCCGAAGCTACAGCACCAACAGGCAAACACCCTCCCCACTCTGACTTGCTGTGTAGACAGAGAATGAGAGGATAACTTTTCAAATTTTTCTTTAGTTTCAAGAGTGAAGAGAGGAGAGGACTGGCGGTTGCTCGTTCTTCATGAGGGATCATGAGAGTCACACAGGGCCAGGTGCAGGCCTAGAAAGATCCATGGAGGGGGCAATGGCTTCCGGCCAGGTCAAAGGTGAGGGGGTTTGTTCGCTGCTTCCAAACAACCACCAAAGCCACCTCTCATGAGAGAGAATGTGAACGAGCAGGGACAGAGGCCTCCAGCACCGCTTCTTCTTCCCCAGAGTTGTCCAGCATATAAACCCTCAGCGCTCATTCTAGTCCAGGTTACCTTCCTGACTCAGTGCTAAAAGCTCCCCAAAATTTCATGTCTGGATTAAGTCATGCCACTCCTCCCAACTTCCCAAACCGGCAAGTGAGTGACCACAGCAAAAAGTGAGTTGCTTTTCTTTTTTATGAATGAACAGGAAGGAAGACACACACACACACACACACACACACACACACACACACACACTCACACACTTGCGGGGAAAGAACATTCACCAGAGTTGAAGTTAAGCCACATTCTGTTACATTTGCATAAAGAGAGAAAGAAGGGAAACAAGGGGGAAAAAATACCGGAATGGTGGAAAGGAAACACACACACACACACACACACACACACACACAGAAAAAGGTTTGGTAGCCCTCTCATTACAAGTTGGTTGGGCATAATGTAAACACACTTCTGCCTTGCTTAATCACAGAGTGCCGCCCGTTTAGGTTTCAAAGGCGGCAGTAAATTGGGCGTAGCTGAGTGGAGGCTAAAAATTAACCAGCCATCTCTGTTTCAATTTGTAAGAAAACAAAAGCGGAAAGAAATTATAAAAAGGGAAAGGGTGGGGGGGGCGGTGAAAGGAACAGAGGAAGAGAACGGCACCATCCCGACCCAAAATGCTGGGTAAAACTGGAAAAGCAAAGAGGAGAACTGGAACTACTCGGGACACAAAAGGAAAAGGAAAATTTGCAGAGTTTTTGGACTGTTTGTTTCTCCAAGACCACTGCTGCAACGCCGCCCCTCCCTGCCCTGCCTGTGCCCGGGAGAGCCTCTGTGCTTCCCAGCAGAGGGGTGGGGGCCTGGGGGTCTCCCCACTGGAGCCAGACGGCGGAAGGGAGAGCGCAAGGAATCTCCTCCTTTTCACTTTCTGTGAAGTCCAAGGACTTTCCTACTCTTCGGCAGCCAAATCCCAGCCATACCAGCTCCCGCCTAGGCATCTGAGCCCCAGAATCTGCCCGCCTCTGCCTTCTCTCCTCTTTTCTATTCATTCTGGCTCCTAACCGGGGGTTTTACACGCCCCTCTCTCCACCGAACTGCTGCCCACCCCGCTTGTGCCAAATCCCGCTTTTCCCCAGGACTTAGGAAGAAGCCGCAGGAAAGCCAGCACCTGGCTCCCGATACTTCTTCTGACTCATTTTAAATCTCTGCAACGAGTGATTTTTTTTATCCACCATCGTGGATAATTCTGGGGCAGCCTGGCCCCGGTCCTAAGACCTGCAGCGTCTTTTGGGTAAGATGAATCCTCCAAAGCGGGAAACGCACGACAATCCGGTAGGTAGGGTGGCGAGGGAGTGAAGGAGGAAGAACGGGGAGGGTGGAGGGAAACAGAAGAAGGAAAAGGGGGCCGCCGCACGGGCTTCAGCCCCAGGCAGGACAGGCGCGCTAGTTAGGCCCAGGGCATGGGTCCTTTGGAAAGAAGAGGCACCATACACAAAACGAATGCCGGCAAGTACACTAAAACGGGGAGTGGGGTTGAGAGTGACCTACCTGGAGTGTGGACAAAGTAAGCCAGATAAAGATCCAGTTCTTTGATTGTGACTCCAATGTGATGTGGCTGGACGCAGAGGCCGGGGTTCGAGCACTGGGGCGACTTGTAGAGCCGCTCCCCATCAGTACTTTCCAGGGGGATCCCCTTAAACAAAATCACCATGACCAGGTCCAGCCGCCACACCTTGTCGGCCTGGCGCAGGCAGTCAATCCGCCGGATCTTGCCCTTCTGGTCGGGGTTGGAGAGCACGCAGCAGGGGGGCTTCTTGCCGGTGATGGTCAGCACAAAGTCCTCTCGGAACTCGGGCCGGATGTCTTTGCGCAGCTTGGCCAGCAGCCGGGATGCCCACTTCTGCTTGATCTCGGGCTTCTCGCCCAGCAGCTCGTCCTTCACCGCCCGCTCCTCGTCCTTCGACATCCGCTTCTCGTGCTTCTTGAAGTACTTGCGCTTCCGCGCCTGCAGGTTGAACCAGGTGTAGGAGAAGGCGCGGACGTGAGGCAGCAGCGCCTCGATGAACGGGTGGAACTCATCCTGCAGGCGGCAAGCCGGGAGCATGCGGGGCGAGGGAGGACGGGAGGAGGGGAAGACGGGGTGAGGGGGAAAGAGAAAAGGAGAGAAGAAGCGTTAGAAGGGGGGCACAAGAAAAATCGCCGCCTCCTCCTCCGCCGCCCCCCCCCTCCCACGACAATTTTCTGTCGTGATTGTTCTACAAAAGTGTGGTCTGGAGCCACCACCAGCCTGGCCAGCCGCTCGCTCCCATCTCAGCCTCGGCAGCCAGACAGAGGCACCCCGCGCCTGAGCACACACCTATTCTCTCTCTCTCCCCCTCACTCACTCACACACACGCGCGCACAGACAACGTTGCCGTCCACACACACACGCTGCTGGTATCCCCGCCAGGCTCTGTCGCGCCCATGACATCTCCATGTTTTGTCGCTGCCGCAAACTCCTGTCAGCTCGCCCCGACGCCGGATCCCGGCTGCCCCGACTCCCGCGGACGCGCAGGCGAGGCGTGCGGGGGCCGCCTCGTGTCCCGACACCGGTCGGCTTTTGGCCACCCCCAAAAAGAGAAAACATGACATCCAGGAGCCGGGCGAGGAACCGGATTTGGCTTTCCCCTCCCCGCGCTGTTTGCATTCTCTTTTCTCCTGCTCCAATTGGAACATCCACCCCAGCATTTTTTTTTAATCAGATCTAAATCCTAAATATGTGATTTCAGCTTTGTTACCGACACCGATACTAATGTTAATCACAGTAATAAGGAACAAAACACTTCTTGTTAGCACAAATAAGGTGGTTGCCTCGGCCACATTAGGGTTAAAAGCTACGTGGGGCGTCCTGCAGCCCCTTCCCCACTGACCCCTTCACCCTCTTTCCCACTCAGTCAGGTGACAGAGGGCTGGGCTCCCGCTTTTTGTTTTTGTTTTTGTTTTTTTTCTTTTTGCTTGTTTGCTTGTTTGAAGTTTAAATAATAATTGATTTCTGTTTACAAAAATAAAACTGGAAAAAATTAAATAATTACCATTGATCTGAAGCACCCGGCAAAGCCCAACGCCCGATTCTGAGCTTCTGGACTCAACAGAGTTGTGAGTTGGGGGCGGGTGGGGGGGGGGGGGGGGGGGAGGAGCAGGGGAGGAAGGTAAATGTTTTAAAGGGGGTTATTATTGGTGTTCTGGGGAATAGGGGCCGGGCTTGGGTGGATTCTCAAACCCTTCCCCCTCCTCCCCCCTCCACGCTCCATTGCACAGAAGGGGGAAATTAATATTTTTTTGAAAAGGAGCAAAAAGAAAGAAAGGTCAGGGATAGCAAGCAGAGAGAGGGAGCGAGCCGGTTGCCACACACGCCAGGTAAACAAAAGCCAACAAAAAAATGTTCAATTTCGCCTCCTGTGCATCCTCTTTCAGTTTAAAAAAGGGAGAGAGAGAGAGAGAGAGAGAGAAGGAAAATATGCAAAATTTAAAAATCAAAACCTACCTCCCAATCACCAACCCCAACACACAGCACACCCCACCCCACCCCCCACCCCACCCCCCACCCCCGTGCAAAACAAAACAAAAACAAAAACCAGGAGGGGGAAAGCAGCAGCTGAAGAAAAAGGCTTTCGGCTTTGGCAGCGGCACAGGGGTGTAAACTTCGCGCTGCCTCCCTCCGCCTCTGAGCCTGATCGCAGGCAAAGGGGGAGCTCGCAGATTCCCGGGGAAGAGGACGAGTTCGGACCGGCTGCAGACCGTCGCTGGCAGACGCGTGCAAAAGAGAGAGAGGGAGTAAGGGAGGGAGGGAGGAAAGAAGAGAGAGAGGGAGAGATCGAGGGTGGACGTGGATGGGATGGTGGTGTGTGTGTGTGTGTGAGTGTGAGTGTGTGAGTGAGAGAGAGAGAGAGAGAGAGAGTGTGTGTGTGTGTGGCTTTTCTCTCTCAAACTCCCTCTCTCTCCCCTTTCATGCTCAATCCCCATCCATTTGCCGGTGCCAAAGCCAGTAAAAAGGGGGGGGGGAGGAAGAGAGAGAGAGAGAGAGAGAGAGAAGGATCCACCTATTTGGCAGTGAGACATCCTCGAGCAGCCAATGGCTGTGTCCAAGGGGAGGAGGGAACCGGGCGAGCCGGGAGGGTGGGGAGAGCCCCCGGCAGTTGGAGACCAAAAACAATTTGCCCAATCGACAAGTTCACGTCTAATGAACAAGCAAAGTCCAGCAGTTATGAATTTTTCATTCCAGGCTCCCACTCGGGTCCATTGGCAGCAGCCAGCCAGCAAATCTGGGGAGGGGGTGTAGGGCTGGGGAGACTAGGATTGAGGAAGACACGGATTTTTTTCCTCTTTTTTTTTTTTTTTTTTTAAGCAAGAAAAAGAAATAAATAAAGGCCTGGCTCGGGCGGGCGCCCCAGAAGGCCTTGGGGAGAGCAGCTGCGCCTTCTCTGTGTTTTGGTTTCAGTCTCTTTCTCTCAGGCCCTCACACTCTCTTTCTGGTTCTATTTCTTTTTTTATTTATGGAGCGCACAGGGGCGAGTGGAAGTTTTCCTCCCTGGCCATACACGCGAGCCTGCGGTGCTATGAATAGAAAGAGAAGAAAAAGAGCTCGGAAAGTGTCCATGCCAGCAGCACTTCCAGGGCAGGGACCTGGCGCCCAGGGTGCGGCCACCCCTTCCTCCCCGGGCCTGGCTGCCGCTGGCAGGGGCACTCCCAGACCAGACGCCCCCACCCACCCACCCCCAGGCCCCCAGCGAGCTCGACCGCCTCCCTCAGCCCACACCCAGCCACGCACGCTCCATTAGCGGTGACGAGGGATGCCAACGCAATGCAGCTCGGCTCGAGAAACTGCAACAGTTTATTAAAATAGCCTCCTGTCACAGCACTCCGCTGACAAGCACTACATGCAGCCACAAACACAACAGCCAATCCCAGGGAGAAGTGACAAAGGCAGGAAGACGGACACTACTTCCGAACAGTGACTGAGTCTTGCGCGAGGCCTCCCCCCAAGCCCCAGACACTCCATTCTTGGCTTTCTCCAGCTTCACCCTCTCCACTCGATCCGTGTTTAGTGTTTCTTGGTTGGAGGAGAAGCAACACTCACCTACCCACCCCCCCAATTCAATTCCGAAGAAAGGGCCCAAATCCCTACGGAGGAGCAGGGTGCACCAGCGTGCAAAGAAACCCAGACGAAAGGGAGAGAGCGAAGGCAGGAAACAGCAAAATGGAAAGGAAAGGGCTCTAGCAGGAAAAGCGGGACAACTTTGGGGAAACCGAGTCATGGGGAAGGGGCCTCCCTCCCAGCCAGGTGGAAGGGTGAGCCCGGGAGAGGGAGGCCTGGGGTGAGTGCCATCTCCATGGGGTTCTCTCTGCCAGGGGCTACTGAGCAGCCTGCTTCGGGCCTTGCAGAAGCTGTAAGGAGGAGACAGTTATTAAAAGAAGGGCAGAGACCTCGGACAGACCGGGAGAGGCTGGTCCCACGCTCAGCGCTGCCTCTACAGCTGCCCTCTCCCCAGGCGAGGCTCAGCCCTCAGCTGGCATGGGGAAGGGCAAGAAAGGTCACTGCTCACTCCTGCCCCTATCTTCCCCATCTGAAACCCTGTGCTCTGTGGCCTTTATGCTGGCAGAAAGGTTCCCGGAAGAACACCTGGAGTGTGAAGCAGCCCCGGGCTGGTGCTCAGCCCTGACAATGGGAGAGATGCCCGCCAGCACCTGGGACCCCGGTCTGGGCTCCAGGTCCTGAGTTGAGTGGTCTGAAGTGAGCTCACAGCTGACACCAAGAGAAACAGAGGTGAGCCAGCAGAAGGCAGGTGTCATTGCGGACAGGCCTCTTAGAGTAGCGTTCAATAATTAACATCATGTTAATAACCAGCTTCAGTCCAATTAGCCAAAGATGTTAACTGAGTGACATAAGATACCAAACCTGGCCTCTCCACCTTGAGAGAAGCACTCTTACTTTCTAGAGTGGAGATGAGATGGTAAAAACCAGAAGTGAGTTTATATTCAGCACATGGGTGTTTTTCTGGCATTTTGATTTATACTAAATATTAGACACCAAACAGAAAATGGCCAACATGGGCCTCCTGGAGGATTCTGGCATATTCCGTCTCACAGACCACGGTGCCGGCTGGAAGAGATGCGCTCAGCATGGGTTGATTCCGAGACCCGTGGTACAACTGGTACAACTGGGTGAGTGGTGGGGAGATGGCGGATGGGAGGATCCATGCGGAAGTTAAGGAAACGGGACAAGATCCGGGATTCGCTCTGGGATGGAGGGAAGGGTCAAAGGTCGGGGGAGTGGCAGAGAGGTTGGACAGAGAAGCGACCCAGGAGGGCCAGTGGAGTTTCTCAATAGAGCCTCAGGGATCTACACAGAGCACAGTGCGCCCCCTCAAATGCTCCCTGAACAGGAGGAGCAACAGGCCCTTCCCAGGAGAGTAACACGGAAGGAGAACAATCGTCAATTGTCCTTCTCCTGCCAGTTGTCGTAACCTTGAAGGTGGGCAGAGTGGATTCCCAGGGAGCACTCTCCGCTCACCCTGTTCCCACAGGGGCTACTGTCTGGGGTGTGTGGGGGAGTTTTCTGGAAGAGCGGCCTGAGGCCAGGGTATTCCTAAGGCTTGGGAGGGAGGGGAGAAGGTCTCTCTCTCTCTTCTGTGGGCACACACAGAGAGGACTCACTCAGGTTCCATTAGAAACACTTGGTGTGCCCCTACCGCTGCAGCCTCCTCCTCCATGCCACTGGTGGTGGCTCTAGGCCCTGGACACGCCCCTCAGGAGCCCCAGACAAAAGGGGACTGTCCCCCTTTTGTTAAGAGAGTGGAGGCTCTGTTGGAAGATTACCTGTCCCAGACCCAGCCTCCTTCCCTTCTCCCCTCCCGCCTGGGTTGAGGGCTCAGAGGCTCTGCACCCTGCACACGGACAAGAGCCAAGACAAAAAACCTTCAGACAATTCAAGGCTTCTCCAAGGGCTGAGTCACCCACAAGTGCAAGGGTTCAGGGGATGGAGGAAGCAAGGGGACAGGCAGGCCTCTGAGAAGGAGAGGGGAGGAGGGAAGAGAATGCGAG